TCATAGCAATTTCTGGATATGGTGGCCAACGAGACAGGGCTTACAGACGTGACACTGGAGACTGTCTGGAATGTCTATGACACACTCTTCTGTGAGGTGAGCCCACTTAGGGTCCCCGGTATGGCCTTTCTTCCCTCGCACCTCCACAGGCCCAGGTGAGCAGGACAAGTAGCATACAGTGCCTGGATACCACTCCCCCTGGGGAGGTCCAGGCAAGCCGCTTCTTGTGAAACAAAGGAATTTCCCTCATGGGTGAAAAAGAACCTCAGAGTGGGAAATGGTTTATTACATGTCAGCAGTTCTTGCCCCTCTCCACCCAGAACTCTCCTGGTATCCGACTCTATTCTGCTGAGTCACGCTTTTCGTGCCTGAGCTTCCTTTCCTGTGTCCTGTCCGCCATGTCTCCTGGTTCCAGTCCCTCAGCCTCACATCTCCTCTCCTCTCCCTCCCTGACACACACACAGGCACCTTCCCGCTGGGGAGGAGAGCTGTCCCCGGAGAGGCTCTGGCCTAGGCCTGGGGAGCTAACCTGCCCACTGCGATACACAGCAAACACACGGGCTGGTCCTGCCGCTCTGGGCCTCACCCCGAACCATGCAGCGTCTGAGCCAGCTAAAGGACTTCAGCTTCCGCTTCCTCTTCGGGATCTACGAGCAGGCAGAGAAGGCCCGGCTTCAGGGGGGTGAGTGACAAGAGCAGCGCGTCACTCCCCTCCTCAGGACCCTGCAGCATTAAAAATCTTCTCACACACTTACTTCTCCAGCTCTGGTGCTCTCTGCCCCTTAAAACCAGACCTCCCCCGTTAGCCACTGAGGTCTCACCATTGCTCCAAATGCTTAGCTCCTCTGTCACTGTAGAATGACCACTGTCAAGTTTGTGTGCTTCTTTTCTACCGTTCATATTCTTAAGCGTCACCCATGTCAGAAGACCCTCTGTCTCCTTAAATGAATACCTACCTCCAGAGAGCCACCAGGGGCCACTTTGCAAGAAGGCTGAGAGTAATACAGATGCCAGTTTCTTGATCCAAGCACCCAAGGGAGGGCCGGCTGTCACACCTTCCCGAGCCCGCATGTGGCAGAGCTCCCATGTGCAGCCGCCGTCTTGTGTGTTCTGAAGCAACTGAAGTTTTTATTTGTTCCAGACTGGAGTAATTGTTCAGTTACGGGCAGGGCCTTGCAGCTCATTTATAAATGGGCAGGTCTCTAGATCTGTGTTGAAATACAGATGTCTCATTTTATCTTGCTTCCCTCTGTAAATGTGAACGATCTTAGAGAACGGGGGTGCTGGAGAGTTTCCCGCGTGGTTCCCATGCCCCTAAGAAGAGTTCCCTGTGCAGGTGATCAGACCCAGGACTAGCAGAGGGTGAAGGGCCACAGATAGGTCTGGTCAGAAGACAGGGGTAGCTGGCGCCACTGACCCTGGGGACTCTTCTCCTTCAGGAGTCCTGCTGGCTCAGATACGGAAGAATCTGACCCTGATGGCTACCTCTTCCCAGCTCCCTAAGCTGCTGGTTTACTCTGCGGTAAGCTCCCGTAGTCCCCAGCGTGCCGATGTCAAGCAGGGAGCTGGATTTCCTCTCTTCAGCGCCTGGGTGTGGGGGCTGGGGGTGGGTACGCGGTGCTGACAGGGAGCTCCCCTCTCTTATAGCACGATACCACCCTGGTCGCTCTGCAGATGGCACTGGACGTCTACAATGGGGAACAGGCCCCCTACGCCTCCTGCCACATATTTGAACTGTACCAGGAAGATAATGGGTGAGTGTAGCCACGGGTCTGCCCTCTGGAGGGGCCCTCGTGTGGTGGCTGTGGGCAGCCCAAGGGCTCAGTTACAGGCCTGCAGAGCAGCTTCCATCTCGTCTCCTGTCAACCCTCAGGAATTTCTCAGTGGAGATGTACTTTCGGAATGAGAGTAACAAGGCTCCCTGGCCCCTGGCCCTGCCCGGCTGTGCTCACCGCTGCCCACTGCAGGACTTCCTTCACCTCACAGAGCCCATCGTGCCCAAGGATTGGCAGCAGGAGTGCCAGCTGGCGAGCGGCCCCGCGGACACAGGTGAGCTGCTGCCTGCCTCTGTGAGGAGCATCCCAGAACAACTTTCAGTTCCTACCCACAGGTCTCCAGAGAGCGGCTGCACCTCTAACCCCCTCACTCACTTCCCCACCCTGAGACCACCGCTCACGTCCTCCCTCCTCATTCTCAGGCAATGGCCTCCCTTCTCGTATCCCTGAGAAAACGGTGCTGTCCAGGAGAGCAGGGGCTCATCCTCCCACCAGCAGATCTTGCAGCTCACTTGCTGGTGTGAGCCACTACCGAGGGCCAAGCTCTCCACGGACACTCCGGGTCCATCTCTTCTCACTTCCGCAGGGACTTGTGGGGCCTCAGTGTTCCCTGTCTACTGGGTCAGTCCCATCTTGAAAGTGTAAGGAAGACCTGTCAGGGCCCCATCTTCCTCCAGCCACCGCTCTGTCCCTGATCCCTGTGAAAGTGGAATCCTTTGCCTAGACTCTGGTTTTGCTTGTTCTGTCACTCATGCTAGACAGCCTTGTGTCACCTCCTCCAGTGAAGCCACTTTCCTCAAGGACCAGTGGCCGCCTCTTGTCAAAGCCTAACCAATTCTTAGCTTCTCTCATCTCTTAAGGGCATGATATAATAGACCTTTCCTTCTTTAGACACTTTCTTGGCTTCTCTGGTGTTTCTTCTGACTTATACTTAGCTTCCTTACTGGCTTTTTCTCCCCACTAAACAGTGGATGGCCCAGGTCTTATCCTGGCCCTTCCCCATCTGTGCCCACTCCCAAGGTGATCCCAGCCAACCTCGTGGCTTCACATACTACCTCTATGCAAAGTTCTATCCTTTTATGACTCAGATTCATGACCTTTTCTCTGAGCTACAGACTCACATATCCAGCTGCTAACTTGAGATCTCTCCAAGTTGATATGTCTGAAACCAAACACTCTTACCCCTAAATCTACCCTTCCCTCAGGCTTGCCCATCTTAGCGAATGACACATTAGTCACCTACTTGCATAGTGTGACCCTGAGTCCTCTTGAATACCGTCTTTCGCAGACCCCATATCCAGTCCACTAGCAGATCCTATCAGCTTGACCTTTAAAATACATCCTCTTGGGGTGCTTGGGTGGCTCAGTCGGTTAAGTGTCCGCCTTCGGCTCAGGTCATGATCCCGGGGTCCTGGGATTGAGCCCCACATCGGGCTCCCTGCTCAGTAGGGAGTCTGCTTCTCCCTCTGCCTACCTCTCTCCTCTCTCTGTCAAATAAATAAAAATTTTAATATATATATGTATAAAAATCAGTTCACATCACTACTCTTCTCAGAATCTTCCAGTGGCTTCCCATGACAGTGAGAACAAAGTCCACGTTCTTCTCCATGGCTTTCCAGGTGCTTCTTGTCTGATCCTCTGCTCTGATCTATTTGCTCCTCACTTACTCTGCTATAGTGATACTGATTTCATAGCTGATCCTAGAATATGCCAGACTTCTTCCCACATCAGGGCCATTTGTACTTGCTTCCTGTCTACCCACCCTCTCCGCCCTTGCCCCAAGACCCTGTTCTCTCAGATCCAAGTGTCTCAGTGACTCAGGTCTCTGGTCAAAATGTCATTTCCTCAGTGATCCTTTCCCTGACCGACCTACCTTTCCATCCTTTTCTCTTTGCTTTGCTTTGTTTTTTGTTTTTTAATTTTTTATTTTTTGACAGAGAAAGAGACAGCAAGAGAGGGAACACAAGCAGGGGGAGTGGGAGAGGGAGAAGCAGGCTTCCCGCTGCGCAGGGAGCCTGATGCGGGGCTCGATCCCAGGACCCTGGGATCATGACCTGAGCCGAAGGCAGACGCTTACCGGCTGAGCCACCCCGGCGCCCCTGCTTTGATTCTCTTTATAGCATTTGTCACTAACCCATGTACGTCTCCATTGTAAGAGCACCTGGTGTACGGTAGATAGTCAAATATTTGTCAGATGAACACTGATAGGCCCTTTTTCTCCCTCTCCCCCACCCAGAGGTGATTGTGGCCTTGGCTGTATGTGGCTCCATCCTCTTCCTCCTCATAGTGCTGCTCCTCACCGTCCTTTTCCGGATGCAGGCCCAGCCTCCTGGCTACCGCCATGTCGCAGACGGGGAAGATCATGCCTGACAACCACTCAGCCCCCTTCCCTCTGCCTCCTAGGGGAGGTGGGCTGGGCCCTTGCTCCTGATTGTTGCTGCTCCCCAGCCCATGGACAGGAGACCCTGGGATGGCCTCCCTCGGATGACCCCAACCTAGATGAACAAGTGGGACTCAGCTTTGCCCATGGCACCTGTCATTCAGCATTCATGTGCCTCCCTGTTCACCAAGTACTGTGTTGGACTTTGGCTTCCTCCAGACAAGATTTGCCTCCACCGTGCTTACTAAGGACCAGACGTGTAGACAAGTATTCAGGTTTCACTCAGGACCTGAAAAACTGAAGGAGTTAGTGCTTGATCAAGCCTTGCTCTCTTCCAGCCTGGGGTTTTTGGCAAATAGTTCAGAGGACACGGTCTTGCCTCTCAGTGCTTATTTTAGTGGGAAAAACTGCCCAACATGGGAGGTACAGACACTGGCTGCTAAGGAACCAGATCGCCCAGAGGCCAGCCAGCCAAGTTTCCCTTTGTCCCCCTGAAGCCACCATTAGAGTCAGACCTAATGCTTCAGGCCTCTCTGTCATGCTGCAGATGGAGCAGGTCAGGAGGGGGTTTGTACCGGGGAGGGGGCGGGGGAGGGGGGAGGGGGCGTGATTTGTGGTACAGTCATGACACTACTGTCCTGCTCAGCTAGGCTGGGGTCTCCACGGACCAGAGGCCACTGCAGGGTGTGAGCTGGACAGCTTGTGACTGTGGCCAGAATAGGGCTAAGGCAGCTTCCAGAGAATGAATGTTCTAGACTCTTAGTGCTGTTTCTGTGCTTTTTCTTCTTTTGGGGGCCCCAAGGAGCCCTTTGACCAGGTCAGTGCTGGAAGATCCACTCAGAAGCTCAGTTGGGTATGGTTTTATTAGCCAAGTCAATAGTGAGCACAAACCAAAAACCACTGCCTGATCCCTCTGTCACTGCTCATCAAAGAATAGAAAAGTACCTTGGCTCCAGGAGAAGCTTGGCTCCAGGCTAGATATAGCAGGGACCCTTGGGGCACCTGGGGCACCAACCCTGGAGAAGTTTCTGGAGCTAAGTCCAGAGCAGTAACATGCTAGTGTCCCAGTCCCACAGTGTCCCATGCCACAGTGTCCCTGCTCCGACCCTAAGACTTGGATACCTTTGGCCCTTTAACACACAGCCGCCTCTTCCCAGAGGATTTGTTCTCAGGTGGCTCCAAGCTCTGGCTTGGCCCGCACCTTCATTAATGTCTCTCATGTCCGCATCCCAGCTTCCTCCTGGCTCCAAATGAGAATGTGATAACCTAGGAGGAGTGAGACCAGTCTGACTTGCACCTTCCATGATCAGTCTCTGAGAACTTGGGGCTGGCCCAGGGAACCCAGGACTTGGTCAGGAAATACCAGGAAACCAGACAGCAGCCAGGCATCGTCATGACCAAGACAAAGCAAGAGGCATGGAGGGCCTAGGCCAAAGAGTCCACTGTATCCTGTAAATCTTTACTGACTCCTACCCTGGGGTGACTGGCAGGGCTAAGCTGAGGGGAGCCTGCACTCAACCAGGGGGGTAGGGTAGGGCTTGGCCAATCTGAGATACAACCTGCTTCACTCACCCATCACAGAGGCCAGCGTGTCCCCCATGGGATTGAACTCATTGAGCTGCAGAGACAAGGGCATAAGCATCAGGAGGAGGTGAGGTATTGGGAGAAGGGCACATGAGGATTAATTTCTGGTCAGGAAAGGTAGGTTGAAGCCCTGCTTCCTCCCCTCATCATTTGAGGGCCCAAACCTCACCGAAATGATACCAGAAGATTCTGGGTCATAGAGCTGATACATCATCTTCCCTGAGTTTCCATCAAACACATCGATCGTCCTTAATTCATGGGGGGTACAGCTTTTGAAATTAGGATCTGGGTATCGGCCCACGACAACGAGGTTGTACCGAGGATGCCAGGTTGCCTAGGAGATGGAGAGTTGTCATGAGAGTAAATGCGGAGTACTATCAAGAAGGACGTCAAAAGTATTCTTTGCCACTCACAAATGTTAATACAATTGCCAGCAATTTAATAATGGAGATAAAACCCACATGAAACTACAAGAACAGCTTTCAACTGCATGTGCCTCTACCATCCCAAATTTTTAACCCCAAATTGGCGTCTCTGGACCTTGGGACATCTTCAGGCCTTTTCTGTCTTTTGTATTTCCTGAGATCATACCAACTGATAAATGTTTTAACATCAGCTTGACCCAGACATTAACCAAAGCCTACAACCAAGCAAAAACCAAGAAGGACATAAGTTCTGAAGTAATTCCACTACTGTCCCTTCTCCATCAACATGAATGATGAAGAGTTGAGCAGAAAATGGCTAGTGACCAAGAAAAGGAAGGAAACCTATGTTCCCCTATGTTCCAAAACAAATCTGGCAGTTAGTCAGAATGACAGAATCAGATGGGGTTTTCCTAAGAAATTGCAAGAAGTGTTGAAGGAGGAAAAACATGGTTAGCCGGAAGGACAGAGTGGTATGTGCCATGGCTTGGAAATAAGTCACAAGTCCCACCTGGGAAGCTGGAAATTGTCCTCACTGGATACAAAGTGAGAGATGACACACAGATCAATGGGAACCAACCGGTGAAGAACCCTTGTTCTTAAGAGCCTGGATTTGATCTGAGGTATGCGGGAGCTACTCTAATATTAAATGATCACTGCTGACATTGTACGTCCCAGGCACTAGACAAGTGCTTTAAGTATACAGATTCTTCCCACAACCCTGTCCGTCAGATACTGTTACTCGCTTTTTAGAGATGAGGAAACCGAGATCCAAAATTCAAGCAGCTTACCCACGAACTCTAACCAGGGGTGTCAGTCTACCTGAAGCTGGTGCCCCCACCACTATGCTATGTTGATGAAAGAAATACCAGCATGAAACCCGGAGGTCTGGAGAGGGGCTGCGGTGTTAGAAAAAGAACAGAAACCAGGAGAGCAGAGGAACGGGCAGAGTTGAGGCTGCCTGGGGCGTGTGCAGGAAGGAATCAGAAGACTTAAAGACTTTCAGTCTTGGGGGCTGAGTCAGCTGGGGGACCAGCAGCACATGCAGATAACTGGAGGTGAGGGCAGAACAGCAGGGAAGTGGGCTGGGCCCAACGAACCAGGAAGAGCTTACGGGAGACCAAGAAAACGGCAGTGCAGTGGGACTGCAGAAGGGGGACAGAAGTTGCAGAGAGTGCCGGGAGAGAAGAGATGGCTTCGTGTAGGTACAGGATGAGATCTGGGATCAGGCATTTCCAGATCTGGCCTCTCCCTACCTCGGGCAGACCCGGCCCGTCCCCGTGATCACAGCTCCCTGCCTCCATCACTTACCTTGATGGGCGTCAGGTGCTGGAAGTGGCGGTGAGGGTGTGGGATCAGGCTTGGGGGGCAGTCCCACTGGGAGGCCGAGTAAACCCGGAGCTCACTCTTCTGGTCAGTGGTCAGGAGCTGGGCTCCATCAGGACTGAAACAAGCTGGCAAGTGAAAAGCCCCAGAGCTGAAGGAGCCCCAGGCCCTTGTTATCCTGGCTGTCATAGGCCTTCTCCTGCAGGGGCACCCCTCTCTCCCACTCCTCTCTAGGCAGGGGTGGAAGGGAGGAGGTGAATCTGGACTGTGAACAAAAACATCCTAGAAACTTGGGGCACCTGGATGGCTCAGTCAGGATAGCCGCCAGCTCTTGATTTCGGCTCAGGTTGTGATCTCAGCGTCCTTGCTCAGTGGGAAGTCTGTTTGTCCCTCTCCCTTTGGCCCTCCCCCTGCTTGTGCTTTCTCTAAAAAAAATAAATCTTTAAAAAAAAAATTCTAGAAACTTAGCAGCTGTTGGAGGCAGCTAGAATCAGAAAGTTTCCAAGACATCCACTTGGCTGCTGCTCTCAGGGTAGAGATTTAACCTAGCAGCTTTTAAAGATTGAGGGAAAACCCTGGAAGTGGTTGGACAGGCAGGGTCTGCAGGAAGGATGAGGTCTGGTATATCACACCTGCGTTGACAGGATGGCTATGCGGCAGCGAGTGGAGGAAGCTGGATTTCCCTCTAACCTGGCGCAGGTCCCAGATTTTCACTGTTTGGTCTACAGAGGCTGTGGCCAGGAACCAATCACAGCATGGGTTCAGGGCCACATGGGTCACTTTCTTTTTGTGCATTCTCAGATTCCAAAGCTGCAGAGAAGGGCTTGGTTCAGGTGGGGCGCAGGGAGGCCGGGATGGGTGGGGGGTTGGTTAGGGAGAGAAAGGGAGGACCTGGGCTCCAGAGAACGCACCTCCCTGCCATCCATGTTGAGCAGGATCACGTGCCCCACATTGTCTCCCGTGACCACCATTCGGCTTCTGGCAGACACATCCAGGCTGCAAAACCAGAAGCTGGAGGGAGAAACTGTGCTGTAAGATTCTTGGGGACAGAGGCAAGGTCCATTCAGTCACTGTTGTAGCTCCAGTGTCTAGTGTACAGTTAGACGTCCCACCAGTATTTGCTGAAGGAGTAACTGTCTCGCCACAGACTCCCAGCAAGGAGCCCACGGACTTGTCTACCGTCCGACAGAGAGGATGGGGGTGACGGAGCTCAGAAATGTGTCCAGTTAGTCAGCTAGTCAGAGTCCCTGAAGCAGCCACAGCTCAGAGCCATAAGGCAAGTCCCCAGGCTAGCCTGCCTCCTAGAGCCCTGGGTTCTGAGGAGGACTCGTTTATTGCTCTCTCCCTTCCCTCTCTACCCTTTGGGCCAAAGGAGATGACAAACCAAACGGGCTGCCCAGCTCTGTTCCGCAGAGCTGGTGAGAAAGGAACTTCTGCCCCCTTCTGAACATTTAGGGAAAAAAGCATACACAACTTTGGGAGCTCTGTCTTGCTCTTTTGTCTCTCAGACTACTTGAGGACGAAGGGATGGGGTTGGGATTGCTTCAGGGATCCTAAAACCCGGCCAGGAGAGCTCAGGTTCATATTTTTTTCTCTCAAACACTCAAATCCTTGCTACAGTGCCTACAAATCCCCTACAAATGTCTTTCAGAGGGAGGGTTTCTTGTGGACAAATAACATGGAACTGAGTCTATCCCGTCTCCTGCCCTGACCTCTGTGGGGCCGCCCAGGATAACGTCCAGTGCTAGTTAGACCCCCCTCACACACACCCCGGATTCTTCAGAGAACAGTAAGAGTCATGTGTCTGGCCAGAAATCCAAGTGCCGAGCATTTTGTCATTTCTCCAGCCACTTGCTCTTGGGGTGTCCCATGTGCTCTGCGGACAGGACTCTATCCCTTTCAGCTTCCATCAAGGAACTGGTCGCGTCATCACACCCCAGTGACGTAGGGAATGAAATCTTAAATTCCTAGTTCCTGCTCCAACCTTTAAGTGGCTTTCCAGGCCAATGCCATGTTGACTAGTGAGAAACAAGGTCTAGTCTAACCCAGGAACGCCTTACAGAAGAGCCGAAGCCCTTCCCTCGCTGAGAAGAGTGGAGGTTCTAGAACCCCTCCCTGAAGCAGTAACACACCCGGAACGCAGGAAGAGTGGCTACGGAAAATCTCAGAGGGAAGCGTAGGACATGGCTGCCACCTTGCAGTTCTCCCCTGTACCAGGTATGGGGGACACACATGAGATCTGGACGCTCTCACCAGAACTACACCGAGAGCCCAGAAGCCCTTTCCCTCCTAGTGAGGCTACTCACTTGCAGGTGCCTGAGCTGGTAAAAACTCGGAGAGTGTTGCCTTTAAAGTCTTGCAGCCTAGTTGTTCCCTCCATTGAGGAGGTGAAAAACTGGTTGGTATCAAGAGGGTTAAACTTCAGCCCAGTGATGCTCCCTCCAGCTCCGATCTAACACAAGGAAGAGAAAAGCCAGTGAGTGATGCCAGCTCAGGTGGAGGAGGAGGCCTGGGTGCACAGGCCCCGCTGACCAGAGAACCGGGCAGGCAGCACGTGCGGCCAGGCCAGCCCAGAGGCCCTGACACGGCGATGCGCTCCATGACGCTCTTTCTTACTTAAGACTTGAGTTTTAATTGAGTTGTTAAAAAATTAACAGACGGTACATTTGGTTGTTTTTAGAATACGGTTCTATGAATTTGAACACACAGTAGAGGTTTGAATAACCACCACCCAAATCTGGATGCAGAACAGGTCTGTCCCCTCAAAAAACTCCCTTGTGCTCTCCTGTCATAGTCACACCCCCTCCCCACCTTGTAACCCCCCTGGCCACCGGCCACCGTGGCTCTGTTCTCCATCATTATGCTATGGCCTTGCCTTTAACAGACTGTCATAGGAGTGAATCCTACGGTAGGCATCCTTTTGCAACTGGCTTCTTTCATCTCACTCAGCATAATGCCCCTGAGATGCAGCCAGGTTTCTGTGTGTACCCATCGCTCATTCCATTTTACTGCTGAGTGTTCCATTACATGGATGCACCACAGCTTACTTATTATTGCCTGGTGCTCTTTAGAAGAGCTTCAGCTTGGAACAGGGCCTGGATTAGGAGGGCAGGAGTCAGATCTGAGCTCCTTCCTATTTTTTTCGAGACATCCCAGACAAGGATGATGAAAACAATCACGATAACATCAATAACATAACCTCATTAAGTGCTTATGATGTATCAGGCACAGTTTTAAGAACTTGACAGCTTCCAGAGCTCCTTCTCTACCTCTTATGCTGCCGCTATCCCAGCCTCACAGACCTAGCGTCCCCTTAGCTCACTCAACGTGCTCACCGGCATGTTCCGTCCCCTGTACAAAGCATTCTAAGCAGTGCCCATGGTCCGCCCAACCCTTGCTCCCGGGATCATCTTCTGCTCCTGACAGCTGAGTCCTGTGCTCACCCAGGCTTCGTGGTGTCTGTTCTTAAACCCGTATATGCATGTTGTACTTTTTGTTGTAATTATGTAATTTAATTAAACATGTAACTTAATTACATGTCATTTATTAACCATTTCATTAAAAATTTAAACTTTAAACATTTCAACAAAACATTTAAGCATTTACTTAAACATGTAATTTAATTAAACAGAAGAACTACGCGCAAAAAGGAAGACCACTGTTATTTCTATGAAAGCCACGTTGAATACTTTGGAAAAACTAGATAAAAATGAGTTGCTAAAAATGATATAGTTGCCAGATTAAGCATGGGTGAGATACTTATAAACACTTAGGGTGGGAAATAATAAAACTTTCAAAAGAATCTGCAATCAGATTGCTTCACAACTGCCTTAAAATTATGTCTCCATGGGGCATGTGGGTGGCTCAGTCAGTTAGGCGTCTGACTCTTGGTTTTGGCTCAGGTCATGATCTCATGGGTTGTGGGATCGAGCCCTGTAATGGGCTCTGCACTCAGTGAGGAGTCTGCTTGGGATTCTCTCCCTGTGCCGCACTCATGCACGCTCTCTCTTTCAAATGAATAAATAAAATCTTAAAAAGAAAAAAAATTTTTTTTTTAAGTAAGGGGAGAGGCAGAGGGAGAGGGAGAAGCAGACTCCCCACTAAGGAGGGAGCCCGATGCAGGGTTTGATCCCAGGACCCGGAGATCATGACCTGAGCCGAAGGCAGATGCTTAAACATCTGAGCCACCTAGGTGCCCCAATAAAAAATCTTAAAAAAAAATTATGTCTCCACTTTTAGGGAAAGGGAAACTAGACCCTATAAAGAATACATTATGGGTGTGGTTTATGTAAGAGCAGGGGAACCCTAATCAGTGGACCGTTATTCTCAGAAAAGGACTGGTCCTATGTCAGAGCATCAGTAATAAATACATACATAAACATTTTAAGTCAAAATGCATGTGTGTTCTTCTAGTAAGGGTAGACTTAAGTGGTTACAACCCCAACTCTTGAACTGAGAAGGAAGAACAAAACCAGGGCAAAGTATGATAAAGAAATATATTGGAGACTTCCAATACCAGAGATGGTGGTTAGCTCAGGTCGGACCAGCCTTCTGTTGAGAACTAGGAAAGGGAAACAAAATCGACACCTATAAAGAAAAGTTTCTGAAGTCAATGGAGAGCTATGAAGGCATCAGGGACTTGAAGACCGGCATCTTAGAGAGAGGAGGAGCAGAAAGATAGGCCTGACTTTGGATGCTGCTTTTCCCCTTGAGGCCTATGCAGCCCAGAAAGCTTGGCTTTGAAGCAGAGGAACCGAAAGGCAGAGAAGCTGAATGGAAAGTGGTGGGTGGCTTCAAGGCTGAGAAGCTGGGCTGAGGTTTTGCCAGTCTCGCAGGGCAAGAGGAGAGGTCGTGGAAGAAATCCAGCTTTTAGTTAGGATCTCTGACACTCTAGAGATAAGAACAAACTGGGAATAGCCTGACTTTCACAAAGACTGAAGTCCAGATTCAAATCATTTCTTTCTTTCTTCTTTCTTAAGATTTTATTTATTTACTTGACAGAGAGAGAGAGAGAGCACAAGCAGGGGGAGTGGCAGGCAGAGGGAGAAGCAGACTCCCCACTGAGCAGGGAGCCCAATGTGGGGCTCCATCCCAGGACCCTGGGATCATGACCTGAGCCGAAGGCATATGCTTCACCGACTGAGCCACCCAAGTGCCCCCAGATTCAAATCATTTCAATCTCACTGGAGTAAGATGATCTGATTTCATCCTACCTGCCTGTCAGAAGGAAAAAGAATTGTCTCTGGAGAAAAATGCCACCACTCAAAACTTCAAATTATCTCTACAAGTTTTCATATGCAATATTTGGCATTATATCTAAAATCACCCAGCATATCAGAAGATAAGGCCAAATAACCAAAAACTAAGAGGAAAAAAATAACATTTGAAAGACACAGGAGATCCAGATATTAGAGCTATTAGATACAGGCTTTAAAATAATTGTGATTAATATACATTAAAAAAAAATAAGACCTGGGGCGCCTGGGTGGCTCAGTCGGTTAAGCGTCTGCCTTTGGCTCAGGTCATGATCCCGGGCTCCTGGGATGGAGCCCTGCATTGGGTTCCCTGCTCACTGGGGAGTCTGCTTCTCCCTCTCCTTCTGCCCTTCCCCCAATCATGCTCCCCCCAACTCTCAAATATATAAATAAAGTCTTTTTTAAAAACTAGACCTAATTTAAAAATGGACAAAGGATTTGAACAGACATTTTTCTGAAGACATGCAAATGGCAACAAACACATGAGAAGATGCTCAACATCATTAGTCATCATGAGATACTACTTCACACCCACTTGGATGGCGATAAGAAAAAAGATGGACAATAACAAGTGGTGACAAGACAACCCCTGAAATGGGAGAAAATATTTGCAAACTAGATCTGATAAGAAGTTAGTATCAAAAGTATATGAAGAACTCAATAGCAAAAAAACAAACAAAAACCCCCCCAAATAACCTAATTAAAACTGGTCAAAGGACCTCAATCGACATTTCTCCAAATAAGACATACAAATGGCCAACAGGTATATGAAAAGGTGCTCAGCATCATTAATCCTGACATCATGGAAATGCAAATCAAAACCACAATGAGCTATCACCTTACACTTGTTGGAATGGCTATTATCAAAACAAAAGGTAACAGGTGTTAGCAAGGGTGTGGAGAAAAAGGTACTCTTGTACCCTGTTGATGGGAATGTAAATTGGTAGAGGCATTGTGGAAAACAGTGTGGAGGTTCTTTGGAAAATATACCACATGATCCATCAATCCCACTTGTGGGTATATAGCCCAAGGAAATGAGCTTTTCACGTGTTATCTTCCCTCCTGGGTTCACTGTAGCTATTCACAATAGCCAAGGTAGGAAAACCACCTCAGTGTCTGTTGACAGATGAAGGGATAAAGAAAATGTAGTATGTATATATGATGGAATATTAGTGAGCCTTTAAAAAGAAGGAAATCCTGCCATTTGTGACAACCAGGATGAACCAGGAGGATGTTATGCTAAGTGAAATAAGTCAGACACAGAAAGACAAATACAGCGTGATTTCACTTATATGTGGATCTACAGACGTGGAATTCATAAAAGCTGAGAGCAGAATGGTGGTTGTCAGGGACTTGGGGATGGAGGAGATGGGGAGATGTGGGTGAAAGGGTACAAAGTGTCAATTATGCAGGATGAATAAGTTCCAGAGAGCTAATGTACAGCATGGTGACCATAGTTAATACTATATTGTATATTTGAAATTTACTAAGAGAGTTGATCTTAAGTGTTCCAGAGCACACAAGATAATATGTGAAGTGATGAACGTTAATTAGCTTGACTGTGGTAATCATTTGCAATGTACACATGTTAAAACTCACACTGTATGCTTTAAATATGTGCAATTTTTATTTGTCAATTATATCTCAATAAAGCTGGAAAAGAATACAAGTGTTGTTAAGGATATGGAGAAGTTGAAGCCCTCCTACATTGCTGGTGGGAATGTGAGATGGAGTAGTCACTCTGGAAAATGGTTTGGCAGTTCCACAAAAACTTAAACATAAAGTTACCATACGTCCCAGCAATTCCACTCCTAGACATATACTCAAGAGAAATGAATATGTATGTTCATATGAAAACTTGTACACAAATATTCCTAAAAGCATCCATAATAAAAGAAGGCTAAAAATCAATGACTCAAAACATCCATCTCAAGAAGTTGTGAAAGTAACGGGAGAAGAAAGTAGGAGAGGGGTGCCTGGGTGGCTCAGTCAGTTAAGCATCTGACTCTTGATTTCGTCTGGGGTCATGATCTCAGGGTCATGGGATCGAGCTCCAAATCAGATTCTGCACTCAGCATGGAGTCTGCTTGTCCCTCTCCTTCTGCTCCTCTCCCTGCTCTCTCTCTCTCTCCCTCTCTAAAATAAATAAATAAAATCTTAAAAAAAAAAAAAGTAGGAGAAAGAAAGAACAGAAATG